GATCTTTCTTTGAAATACATTTCCCTGTCATCAGATCGATAGGAGAGAAGTCCTTCTATCTTTGGGAGTTTGTTCATTGATTGAGCATCAGGAACCACTGCAACCTGCATAAAATTTTGGAGAACTGCGTGAACTACACTAAACCAACACTAGGCAAAAAAGACTCAAGTCATATTCATGCTGTAACCATCAATTTACCCCATCATTGATTGTGACATCTTCACCATAGGAACAAGGACCCTACGCAAATAGTAAAGTGATATTATAAACAATATGAACAAGAAAGAAGAATGTTTATCAACCTTCTGGTCTTACAAACTTGTGATTTAATTGTAAAAATGCAATTTGATTTAGTCAAACCAATCTCTCGTACCTTGTATATCCCGTACCTCGGAAAAATGTTTTATAATCTTATACCTTTTTTCGTAATCCATCTTCCACACGCCATGTTTCCAATTTCCCTGCATTGTTTCTTTCTTTAAACTCCATGCATTTTTTCCAAACACGTTTTGGTAAAGATGAACGAATCCAAAACCAAACTGTGATATTGTCCTCTTTCTTCAAAACCGTCCCGCCATTGATTGCTTGACATCTTGGAGCACAGTAATCCTTCTTACTGTCAGCACCAAAACAAGCACAACACTGAAATGGAAAATATTTCAATTTTGCAACATTGTAAATCTTCTTCTTGTTAGAGACTTTTATCGAATATACCTCTCCGTGATCACAGCCAATGAATGATGTTTGATTGTCCTGAATACCGGAACGTTCAGACAAAACACCGTAGCTATATCATGTAAGAAAGAATGAAGAGGCTCTTTATATTAGCATTGTACAGTAGTTCCTTATCATAATTACAACATAATTACAGATCATAATTACAACATAGCCCTTTATCAAAAAGGCGCATTGTGAATGTTATGTATGTGTTGCTATTTCATAGCACAGGCTGCCCACGCCTGCCTCTCTAAGCATAGGGCAGTGGGGCAGCTACCATTTCCCCGCCGTGGCTTTGGCACCCTTACCTGACTTTCTTAATACCCTCCTAACCTGTTTACAATGCCCATGACAAAGCAAATAATGCAAGACGACGTAATAATATTTATAATCACCTGTACGAGCCTGATGTATCAATATGATAATTCAAAATATATGCAAAACCATCCGTGCAATCTTGTTTAAAACATCGGTTCATTTTACTCTGTTGAAATGAAATGAGGTTAGTTTCGTTTCCTGGAACTCCATGAATTCTACTTTGGGCGACATAGTCATGAAATATTTTACAGCTTGTGAAGGTTTAGCTCGATTAGGATTTCAACAATTTTAATACCCATCCTAGTCCAGGTGAAATTGCACCTCCAAATCGCGAACATTTAAAATTTCTTGTCGCAATCTCTCCAGTCATGAGATCTTTAACGAAGGCGACATCACCAATGCCTGGGTATCGATGACTGCATCCTCCTTTGTTGGACATAAGCAGCTCCGATAGAATACGAGGGGATTTGAAACGATAATACCTTGGAAATACAAAGAACACAGTAGCGTGAGCCGTGTGAAAAAGCTTTATCCGCTGGGGAAAACAAGACAAAAACAGCATTTTTAACAACACCAATTTACGTACCAGTGTGCTCGTGTATCGCGAAAATCTTTAGAGGTGGAAATCTGAACTCGGAAATCCAAGATTTCTTGCTCACCAAATGCACTTGACCACATTGGCTTACCGTGGGGGTGGATGAAAGAAGCGTTGGAAGGAATAGCCCAGGTTTCTGGTGTGTCTTTGACGCCAATCAACAAGAACCCACCTCTGTCCGTTTCAACATCGCACCATGACTAAATCAATAAAGTAGTTTTGTAATTTGTAATTTTCTAACCTCTTTCTTGGAAAAAGCAGTGTGAATGTCTTTAAAAGAAAAAAAACCTTACCTTTTGTGGACCATTTCGTGTCTGGATCCAGTAAGGTCCGCTTTTCGCTTTTGGAACATTGTCCACAACACCAGAACAATCTTTCGCTGGATCAAAATAGTTGCCATACGAATGACCTGAACAATAACAGCGTGGTGATACAGCACAATTCACATCGATAAAAGGAAAAACATTATTCAGCAAAAGCTTCAACGATAATACAAGTTCTGGTATGAAGACTTCAACTTTTTCCCATCATAATATCAGAATAAATACCATTGATAATGTCCCACTGATATTTTCCATCGTGTTGAACACAAGCCAGGATTTTATCATCATCATTGTTATCTTTCACAACCACAAACTTTCCTCGCTTATCTGCGGTGCAAATTCCAGGATCGTATGGGTTGACCTGTTGTTGCTACAATAAGATGGAAGTACATTAATAAAGCACCCGTGATTCACAGTTGATGAACAGTGACTGAACTATGTTGTTACAATTATTATAAGTTGTAGCATTTTCGAAAGGCATGTTCGTGGACTACCTTGGAGTATTAAGATCTTTTATTGTCGTTTCCTATAACTAAACTTTAAAACGAGAAAGGGGAAAAGGTCACAATTGTCGATTTGTAGTGTTGAGAGACTTTTTCAGTGTTGAAAGAATCTTTTTTTAATTGTAATTAATTACACTGCCATGCAACAATGCTAGCACTTCAGTCGTCTGTTCTTCTAAAGAGCCCTTTTAAACCACTACCTGCCAATCACAGATGATGAAAACAGGCAAATGAAAGCAATTATCAAGATGTTAAATCATTTGCGCGCAACTCTGCTTGAACATGATTGCGAATAGATCCTAGCTAAGTTATGGCAACTAAAGTTTGGCGCTCTCTATCGTATCGACTTGAATTTTAGATATTTTTGTTTCGATTCTTAGCCCAGTCTTATGAAGCGTCGCGTGATCATCCCCCCACCTATAAACATGACAGACAATAAAAAAATAGAAAATACGTTTTTTCAAAATATAAAACAGTATACACTCCAATAATGCTGAACATAATCAGCACAACCCAGTGGAACCTACGAGCTGCGATATTTCAAACACAGAATGATTGTTTTTAAGCCTTTCAGTTTCAACAAATGACGCAATATCGACGTCTCACTTCCGATATCGTCTTAGAATGATTATAAAATACCTTGTTTATACTTTAGTACTTACAGTCACAGCATGAAGGGTTGTAAAGAGGGTTAGCACTAAAACTGCCGCCAATATTTTCATTTTAAACTGCTTCGGATCTTACCCTTGCTAAATATTTCCTCAAATGATGAGATTGTAAAATCAGGATATCGAATTTCTATTGTCGAGGTGTAAGTTGATATGAGCGCTGGATTTAATCTGTGCAGAAATTTCATTGGCGCACGTGAGTCCTGCACGTTGAAATTGTATGCACACTCAATTTACCTTGTCTTCTTCCTTGCCAGCGCCCCTGAGCGTGGTAAATCTCTCCCCAATGATGCTGTAAAGATGATTGATAGGGATGAACTGTTTCCATCGTCAGTGATCAAAACAATTCTGGCGTCACTGACGAGTAGGCATGGTTAAGAATCATTTAAGACGAAGAGGCATCTGTAAAATTTTATTTTTACATGCATACATGCTACCACAAAATTTTTTTTTCAAACCAATAATCAAGTCCAACTATACCAGGAAAAACAACATATCTGTATACTAATAATATGAATACTCGTTCCTTATACTATAAGCTTGTAAGTAAAAACCAAATGGAAAAGGTTTTGCTTAACGGACGAGAATGTATCCCATTGCTCTAGCGTTCTTATTTCCGTTGTCTGCTCCACATTTACCAACGTTACCAGCGGTGTTTAGAGGAGCTTGTTTTAAACCACAATATGGAAAATTACCATCACCTCCAAAGCCGACGAAAGAGTCTGGGGAGCCACAGTCATTTTGCTCATTTGCGGCTAACCCCAACCGAACTCTTACATATCTTGTGCCAAAATACATATTAAATCCTTCTTTATTACAATTGGGCTGTAAAGATGACCCAACGATGAGCTGTCTCCATTGAGAGCGACTAATGTGAGTTTGACGATAGTTACCATCTGCGATCAGATGATACAAGGACTTTGCCGGGTACCAGAAAGAGAAGGCTCTGAGTTGACCACGATATTTCATCGCGACACAAATTTCTTTGAATGAGGTTTTCCAATATGTTGATCCTTTATATTGTCTGTTGTCAAAACCTCCGTTTCTTCCATAGGACCAGTCAGCGTAAGTGTTCTTGTTCGACCAATAACTGGAACTGTATCTGAAAGTGCTCTAAGAATAGATACGAATTAAAATGATCTTACAACCTTCCCTTAAACCTATGGTAGAATAAGCTGCATAACATGCACCGCATAATGCAGGGTTATTCTTACCTGGCTCCCATCAATTTTCATCACCATCGTCCATCCTCCACCAGAACAACCTGAGACTGACGACATATGACAATAGACGTGCATCCCTTGATTTCGTCCAACGCTGATTTGGTAAACACCACTACCACGGTTGCTAGCAGATGTAACAAAATATACTTTAAAATTAATATTTCATAAACAACCAAGAACCTGATGTGCATGAACTTGGAACTAAAGAAAGACTGGTATTTAGTTACAATACCTTTGACTCATCCATATTTGTTTGCAGGATGAACGAGTCAGCACTTTCACATCTTAAAAGAACAAAAAAATGTGGGCTGTTGTAAAACATATAGAAAAAATCATACATCATTAGATCATAATCCAAAAAAGCCTTTTAATTTTTAAACTGTGACTATCCCGATTTCGTAACAATAAAAAGATTACCTTTAGTTACGCTTGCCAACTTAGTATTGGTCACGCGTTTGAAACTTTGTACTGCCCGTTTGAAACTTTCAAGTCTACCAATGACACCTTCAATCTTTTTACGAGAAAAAATGAATATTTAGTTGCCGGAACATAACACTTTAGCTATGACATATTAATATCCACATTTATTTTGCTACTGCATTCACAAAGAACAGCCTGGAATTTTTGCATCCATCTTGTATTAGATTGCATTGTTATGTTTCGACAAATCTTACATCCTGCTGAGTTGCCAAAGCTTTCCACTGAGATTTTCCTTTGAGGTAAATTTTTCTGTCGTCAGAGCTATAGGAGAGAAGACCTTCTATTTTTGGGAGTTTATTCATTGCTCGATCATCAGGAACCACTGCAACCTGCAAAAAAATCATGATTATGACATGCATAAACTCACTTGTCCAAAAAGTCCGGTCAGAGCGGAATAATGATTTCAGACTCCCAAGTACAGGATTTTGGATTCCTTAGTTGACAAGGGAAAATTAAATTACATTTATACTGTAAAAAATAATTTACCCCATCATTGATTGTGGCATCTTCATCATGCGAACACGGACCCTACAAATAAGCAATGAAACACCACGTTAACTGGATGGAGAGCTATGGTGAATAATCTTAAAAACTTGTATGAGTTATAATAGTTGTTATTGTGTTTCGTTTGCATTCTTCAAATCACAGATCATACCTCTCTCTTTACTCCACCTTCCACACGCCATGTTTTCAATTTCCCTGCATTGTTTCTTTCTTTAAACTCCATGCATTTTTTCCAAACACGTTTTGGTAAAGATGAACGAATCCAAAACCAAACTGTGATATTGTCCTCTTTCTTCAAAACCGTTCCACCATTGATTTCTTGACATCTTGGAGCGCAGTAATCCTTCTTACTGTCAGGACCAAAACAAGCACAACACTGAAATGGAAAATATTTTCGTTTTTCAATACTGTAAAGGCCATGTTACACGGGCAATCTTTCTTGCAACTTGCAATAGAACTCTACTTTTGAGAGATGTATATTTGGAAACTTTTGTGTTTATAACACTTTATGCACTTTTCTTCTGCAAGACTCTTCACTAATTTACATCTCTTAGAAGTAGAATTGCATTGCAAGTTGCAAGAAAAATTGCACCGTGTAACATGGCCTTAAGTCTTGTTAGAGCACTATCCTATATACCTCTCCGTGATCACAGCCAATAAACGATGTTTGATTGTCCTGAATACCGGAACGTTCAGACACAACACTGTAGCTATATCGTACAAGAAAAGTGAAGAAGTTCTATAGACTTTTAGCATTGCGTCAAGGAGCCTGACTTTAAGAAGGCTGAAAAAATAACTGAATAAATCAAACAAGACGAACATAATTATATTTGTTATATAGGTTCTGTGTATTTTAAATGTGATTGGTTCATTCGTAGTCACATGACTTTAAAAAAATGCAATGTTTCCCGCCAGGAAACAAGTGAAAAATTGTTGCCCGCTTCTTGTCATAACAAAGTAAAGTGGTTTTTTTTAAAATGTTTTTGTTCCTATACAACAAAACACTTAATGTACACTACCTCGGGAAATAGTGAGTTTTGTTTTTCCTCGAGTCTCAATGTTTGGGAAAACAAAACTCACTATTTCCTTCGGGAGCATACCTTAAGTGTATAATAATCACCTGTACGAGCCTGATGTATCGACATGATAATTAGGAATATAGGCAAAACCCTTTTGACAAGGTTGCTTAAAGCATCGGTTCATCTTATTCTGTTGGAAAAAATGAGGTTATACGTTAGTTTCCTTTCTTGTCAAAAGACCTCCATTTGTTGCATTTTTGGCATTGTTGAATATCAGTAATTTTACACACCCATCCCAGTCCAGGCGCAATTGAAGCTCCAAATCGCGAACATTTGAAGTTTTTGGTTGGTATTTCTCCAGTCATGAGGTCTTTAACGAAGACAACTTTACCAATTCCTGGATATCGATGACTGCATCCTCCCTTGTTGGACATTAGCAATTTCGAGAGCTTGCGAAGGGATTTGAAACGATAATACCTTGAAAATATAGGGGGATAACTTTGGTCTACACTTTAAAACATGAACTAATGTAGGGTATTTAGCACAGCATCAAGATGGTTCAACAAAAAACGAGATGACAACCACAGCATTTGAAATAACAACGACTTACATACCAATGTGCTCGTGTATCGCGAAAATCTTCTGACGTGGAAATTTGAACTCGGAAATCCAAGATTTCCTCCTCACCAAATGCACTTGACCACATTGGCTTACCGTGGGGGTGGATGAAAGAAGCGTTGGAAGGAATGGCCCAGGTTTCTGGTGTGTCTTTGACGCCAATCAACAAGAATCCTCCACCGTCTGTTTCAACATCGCACCATGACTAAAATCAATCAGTTGTTTACTAGTTTTCTAACTTTTTCGTTATTGATATCAATGTGAATGTCTAAATAAACAAAAATAAAGTAGCCACTTTATTAACTCTACCTTTTGCGGACTATTTCGTGTCTGAATCCAGTAAACTCCACTTTTCGCTTTTGGAACATTGTCCACAACACCAGAACAATCTTTCGCTGGATCAAAATAGTTGCCATACGAATGACCTGAACAATAATAGCGTGGTGATCCAGTTAACACTGTTGTTTTCAATTTATGCATGTGTTATATAAAATATATAAGTACCATTGATCATTTCCCATTGATATTTTCCATCGTGTTGAACACAAGCCAGGATTTTATCATCATCATTGTAATCTTTCACAACCACAAACTTTCCTCGTTTATCTGCGGTGCAAATGCCAGGATCGTATGGGTTGACCTGTTGTGTTAATAGTTATTACTTAATATTCTTGTAATTTTGCATGGTGACATCAAATAAGCAAATTAGCTTGTAGGTACACCACAAATTAATTCATTTTGCACTGATGAAGGCCCAGGTTAACGGACCGAAAGCTTTGCAGTGCATTAAATACTTACGTGGTGTACCTACAAGCTAATTTACTTACTTAGTTAATACTTTAACACAATTCCTGTTTTACTTAAGTCGAGAGTTACAAAATAACCTTTACCATAATGAGCATGTCAAGGTGGCTGATGTGATAGAATATTTCTATGTATTTTACTGTCAACAATGACCGATTTCAATACAGAAATAAAGACAAATTTACATTCGGACTATTTCTCATCAGTGAAAATGACTTGTTCACGATCATATCAACTAAATGGAAACCAGACTTATGTCTAACTAGGCTTTAGGGTTTCCGTGCGCCCGCATTCTTTGTATATTCGTTCCTGTTCCGCAGTGTATAAGCCTGCATGCTATGTTCTATGCTGCGGAAATACCTAAGATTTGCATATTTAAATTAGCTTGAAAATTGAAATTAAGCTTGTTATGATATTCAGGCGAACAAAGACGAATTACAAAAATAGAAAGATTATAAGAAAGACTGTTCTTCAAATCCGTTTTCGCAATTTGGACGTGTCTACTGTCCATAGAGGACCTATATAACTGCATTTTGGAAAGTCGCTAATCGTTAGTACATTGCCTTAAATTTTTAATGCAAGATGTCTGCGTGTCTGTAGCGATTACACTAATATATCCCAGTGACTTCAAAAGGAAAGGTAAATCAATTTAGAACTTTATTTTCGAACTGGAATACACGTATTTAATTATCACTAGTAAAGTACCATGCAAAAAGGCGAGCTAGTTTGCCCTTTTTATTTCTATCAGTTTATATTGTTCTAGCTTTGTGTTCATTGATGCATCCGCAATCATATAGGAAAGTCTCGCAGGCTTAATGCTCAGAATATTTGCAATGAAGCGATGACCCTATGAAAAATCATCTCTTAATTGTTGATACCGTGTCGTATATTTTGACTCTAGCGAAAAATAACGTTTTCATACTTCCAGGTCACTCTATCAGCTCTAAAATGATTAATTAATTAGATGTATCAGCTGAACTAAATAATAAGTTGTTTCAGGCATAGTCGATGCACTACTACAGTTCTACTTGTATATAAATGACCCGAAGTTACGCGGTATCACTATGACTTGCAGGTTTGACGCATGCAAGCCTGAAAAACAAAGGTGCGACGCTTTGCTTCGCTAAAATAATAATCCCACATGCAAGCAATCTAGCATATAATTATATAAGCGTCTAAACCCTTCACTTGCAAGAATGAGAAGTACCAAGGAAACTTTAATATAAAATCGAGTAAGCACAAGCCATAACAGTATTTGTCCATGCAAGTTTGAGCGTTTCAGCCATGAAAACTTGTTTGACTAATGATCAGGGAGTAAATATAATAAACTGATTCGATACAGTGATAAACGTATTTTATACGCGTGTAGAAATTAGTGAAGTAATGAACTTATGTGTACTTACAGCAGCACAAAGGCTTGTCACAAAAGTTGTGGCAAGCACAGCCGACAGCAATCTCATTTTATTTCAACTTCTTTAATTGAAAAAAGTTAGTCTTCACTCTTGCTAAAACTCACCGCAAATGAGAAAAATTACTCAACGATCAATTATATCCATGCATTACAATAGATGTTTGACGAATTTGTTTTGCTGAAGCAAGATTATTCGTGTTAAGTAAACAATAGCGCACTTATCACATCAAAACGCATTTGTATATATGGTATATTTTGTTACTTTTTTATATTTAATAGGCATGCATTTGCATCGTTTTTATTCAATGAAGCGTTTTTGTAAATAAAATACAAGAAATTAAAGTGAATTAACGTGAAGGTGACTTTTTAGCTTAAGCAGACAACACAATAATTATGATACGTCTTTCAAGTTGGCAGAGCATCCGTTTCCTGGTGGGAATTTAATGTAGCAAGGAAGATATAATAAGCATGTTGCAACCCACCAAATTGAATTAATAGATTTTTAATTACAATAGGACGGCACAAAAAAAATTATGTACTGTGTCTTCAGAAAGAATGTTCACATGATATTACTGCCTCTTTCTTATTCTTATTCTTATTCTTAAACTTTATTCTTATACACTAAAGTGTGAATAAAATCCCAACTCATGGAATGGAGTTTTTCATGCTCTTCACGGGTTATATGTGACATATATCAGCGATTTATCAAAGAAAGCTGGATTCATCGTTTAGTAAATATTTAAAATATTTAAATGACCACCTCCAGAGTGCGTAGATTGTCTAATCTAAAGTTAAAAACAGCCCAGGAAATGACTTACCTGCAAGATATTCAAAAAATTATTGCTTAATTTTCGTATCGTATACAGTCATGCTTCACCTTGACTTCTCCCTTGCCGGCGCCCCTGAGCGTGGTAAATCTCTCCCCAATGACGCTGTAAAGATGATCGATGGGGATAAACTGTTTCCATCGTCAGTGATCAAAGCAATTCTGGCAATCTGCACATTTAACAATCATCACTGACGAGTAGGCATGGTTAAGAATCATATAAGACGAAGAATTAAGGGTCTGTAAAATTTCATTTTTGCAAACAAACATACATGCTACCAGACGAAATTTTTTTCAAACCAATAATCAAGTTCAAATATACCAGGAAAAACAACATTGTTGTATACTAATCATAACACAAATACTCGTTCCTTATACTATAAGCTTGTAAATAAAAATCAAATGGAAAAAGTTTTGATTAACGGACGAGAATGTATCCCATTGCTCTAGCGTTCTTATCTCCGTTGTCTGCTTGACATTGAGCAAAGTTACCAGCGGTGTTAAAGGGAGCTTGTTTTAAACCACAATAATGAAAAACACCATCACCTCCAAAGCCGACGAAAGAGTCGGGAGAACCACAGTGATTTTGCTCATTTGCGGCTAAGCCCAACCGAACTCTTACATAACTTGTGCCAAAATACACATTAAATCCTTCTTTATTGCAATGGGGCTGTAAAGATGCCCCAACGATGAGCTGCTTCCATTGTGAGCGACTAATGTGAGTTTGACGATAGTTACCATCTGCAATCAGATGATACAAGGATCTTGCCGGGTACCAGAAAGAGAAGGCTTTGAGTTGACCACCATATTTCATCGCCACACAAATTTCATTGAATGAAGTTTTCCAATATGTTGATCCTTTATATTGTCTGTTGTCAAAACCTCCGTTTCTTCCATAGGACGAGTCATAGTAAGTGTTCTTGTTCGACCAATAACCGGAGCTGTATCTGAAAGTACTCTAAGAATAGATACGAATTAAAATTATCCTACAGCCTTCCCTTAAGCCGATCGTAATATAAGCTGGGTTAATCTCACCTGGCTCCCATCAATTTTCATCACCATCGTCCATCCTCCACCAGAGCAACCTGAGACTGACGACATCTGACAATAGACGTTCATCACTTGATTTCGTCCAACGCTGATTTGATAAACACCACTACCACGGTTTCTAGTAGATGTAACAAAATATGTCTTTAACACTGAGATATTCGTTTTTTAAAAACAATATTGCATAAACACCAAAAAACCTGATGTGCATGAACTTAGAACAAAAGGAAGACTTTATGTATTTAGTTACAATACCTTTGACTCATGTATATTTGTTTGCACGATGAACGAGTCAGCACTTTCACATCTTAAAAGAGCAAAAGATCACGATCCTATAAAGGCCTTTAAAACCGTGATTATCCCGAATTCGTAACAATAAAAAGATTACCTTTAGTTACGCTTGCCAACTTAGTATTGGTCACGCGTTTGAAACTTTCTGCTGCCCGTTTAAAACTTTCAAGTCTACCCATGACACCTTCAATCTTTTTATGAGAAAAAAATGAATATTAGGTTGCCGGAACATAACACTTTAGCTATGAGTGACATATTGATATCGACATTTATTTTGCTACTGCATTCACAAAGAATAGCCTGGAATTTTTGCATCCATCTTGTATTAGATTGCATTGTTATTTTTCGACAAATCTTACATCCTGCTGAGTTGCCAAAGCTTTCCACTGAGATCTTTCTTTGAGGTAAATCTTTTGGTCGTCAGAGCTATAGGAGAGAAGACCTTCTATTTTTGGGAGTTCTTTCATTGATCGAGCATCAGGAACTACTGCAACCTGCAAAAAAAATCCAGAACATGACATGCATAAACTCACTTGTCTAAAAAGTCCGGTCAGAGCTGAATATAAGGATTTCAGACTCCCCAACGACCTTCCCAATCTGAGAGGCTACACCCCTCCGTCTCGTGGGCAAGAGCTACCACACAAACGGGTGAATTAATGACCCTTTGTAAATATAATGATTTGAGATTCCTTATTTGACAAGAGAAGATTAAATTAAATTTACCCCATCATTAACGGTGACATCTTCATCATGGGAACACGGACCCTACATATAGAATCAATGAAAACAACATCAGAAGCGTGTTCGTATGGATATTCACTGTGCAACATTGTAAACTCTGCATTATATAGTCAAACAACATTCACTGGAAGGAGAGCTATTGTGAATAAGCTCATATCTGGAAAAGCTGCTTTCGTTTGCATTCCGGCTTCAAACCACAGATCACATACCTCTCTCTTTACTCCGTGTTCCACACGCCATGTTTCCAATTTCCCAGCATTGTTTCTTTCTTTAAACTCCATGCATTTTTTCCAAACACGTTTTGGTAAAGATGAACGAATCCAAAACCAAACTGTGATATTGTCCTCTTCCTTCAAAACCGTTCCACCATTGATTGCTTGACATCTTGGAGCACAGTAATCCTTTTTACTGTCAGGACCAAAACAAGCACAACACTGAAATGGAAAATATTTCAATTTTGAAATGTTGTAAATATTCTTCGACTTGTTGGAAAATTCTTTTATCGTATGTACCTTTCCGTGATCACAACCAATAAATGATGTTTGATTGTCTTGAATCCCGGAACGTTCCGACACAACACTGTAACTGCATGAGAAAGCATGGCAACAAAAGAGTTGATAATCAAGTTTGGTTTGGCCGTAGTAATGGTTTAAATAATCACCTGTATGAACCTGATCTGTCGATATGAAAGTTAAAAAGATAGGCAAATCCTTTTGGGCAGGCTTTTTTAAAACATTTGTTCATTTTATCCTAAAAAAAGTTTTCTCTTCATCATTTTAGTCTGAAAAAGCACGTTTGGGTGGCTAGATTTAACCAGTGTGATTAAAATAATAAAACTATAAGCAAAACATAAAATATTAGTTACACACCCATCCCAGTCCTGTTGATATATCAGCCCCAAATCGCGAACATTTGAATTTTCTTGTCGCTATCTTTCCAGTCATGAGATCTTTAACGTAGGCAATATCACCAATGCCTGGATATCGATGACTGCATCCTCCTTTGTTGGACATGAGAAGTTTTGAAAGAAGACGAGGAGATTTGAAACGATAATACCTATGCAAATAATAGGACAAAACTGTAAATGGTTACTTTAAAACGTGGACCGTCAACAACAATCAACAAACTTACCAATGTGCACGTGTATCACGAAAATTTTTAGTTGTGGAAATCTGAACTCGAAAATCCAAGATTTCTTGATCTCCAAATGCACTTGACCACATTGGCTTACCGTGGGGGTGGATGAAAGACGCTTTTGAAGGAATGGCCCAGGTTTCTGGCGTGTCTTTGACGCCAATCAACAGGAACCCCCCACCGTCTGTTTCAACATCGCACCATGACTTAATGAAATGGATTTTGTTTAGAGACATGAAACTCTATCCATAAAAGTCTACGTTTGAAGTTTAATTGCGCGTTTATATTGGTTAGAAATCAGTGCAGCCTAAAATTGGATTATTTCATCAACCTTTTGTGGACCATTTCGTGTCTGAATCCAATAAACTCCACTTTCCGCTTTTGGAACATTGTCGATAACATCAGAACAATCCTTCGCTGGATCAAAATAATTGCCTTACGAATGACCTAAAATTTGCATGGTAAATAGTCATGTCGGAACATAGGTAGCCCAACAATCAGGCTTTTGATGAAACAAGACACTCTTGCCAGTCTCAATATATTTTGACGACGCGCTGCATTGAGGTGACGTACGTAATGCAGCGCGTGGTCAAAATATATTGAGACTGGCAAGAATGTCTTGTTTCATCAAAAGCCTGATTATTGGGCTACTATGGTCGGAATCTGTATTTGCATAGTCATAGTATTTGTTTATATTGCAACCAGTGGTAAAACTCCCCGCTGTTTGAAACACTGGGTATATGCATGAGTAGATTAGTATAATTATGTTCTCAGAGATAGATAGGATTGAAAGATTGTCTTGTGTAGAAGGATTTATTTAACCCTAATTGTAAAAACCCTGTATATATTATTGACTCGATTTATGAATATACGTAATGAATTTGTACCAGATAAGCCTCTTATTTTCCCCTTTTTCCAACTTGCTTATGAAATATCAAATTGGCAAATAGTGGAATTAACAGTAATTACCATTGATCATTTCCCACTGATATTTTCCATCGTGTTGAACACAAGCCAGGATTTTATCATCATCATTGTAATCTTTCACAACCACAAACTTTCCTCGTTTCTTTTTTGTGCAAATACCAGGATCATATGGGTTGACCTGTTGTGTTGGTAGTTGAAATTTGCGAATGTATGTAATTTGCGCATGCTTCGAGTTGGGGAAATCAAAAGAGCTATTGTGCATTTGCTTTCACCAGTTTTACAGCAAGTGCTCAGCTAAACTTCCTAACAATACCCTATTTTATATGTATTTAGACAATGCTAGTTTTCGCTTGTAGCGGTTTCGCAAAGTGCAAAGCATGCGCAAATATTAACAAATAATAATATTAACAATTTAACATAAACCTTCCCAGCTTGCTTGTACATATAAAATGTGCATACTTACGGCACAGAGGGTTGTAACCAATGCTAAAGCTAGCAATGCTGAGAACAACCTCATTTTTCTTTCGCTCTTTTAAAAAAATGTGTTCACTCTTTGGAAATCCAACCTCAAATGAAGCCAATTAACTATGGTGGCGCATTTACATTGAAAGAGTTTGTTTCACTTTATTGCTGAAGGAAGACTATCATTTTGACATGATTTTGCATATAAATCAACACGATATACATAAAGACATGTATTTTTTACTTTTTGTCGACTACAAGATCTTTTTTCTAAGTGAATAGTTAAAATATGAATATATCAGCATACTCGTGGAAAAATGAAGGGTTTTTGGAAAAGGAATATAGGAAAATCGTCGTTGAAGTCACTTCGCTTTGCCTCTTGGCATCCATTATTTACATTTGTGAGTGCAAGTTTGTTGAGGACATTACTTGACTGTAACACGATCCGATATTTAATTTCCTTCATCACAAATCATAAACGACAAGGAACAGGATATTACGTATATTTATATAGTTTTACGACAAAATTTTGTATTGCAATAATACTCATTGAGCACTACTGTGTGTAGAACACACTTTTCAGAACTGCACATTGCTGTTGCATGATCACAACGCATTACTGTTTTGATTCAATTATATAGTACAATGCAAGTGCCCGCATGTCGTACCTGCTTCTTGCGGTTTTGTTGCCTGTGGCTTTGGACTGGATGGAACACGATTTGTTGGCTTCTAGAAACACATAAACATATCTCATATTTTCACAGTACAGAGAGAATAAGCGAGGTCAATAATCGGTTTATTATATGGCTGAACTGCATGAGACATCCGGGATACTGGTCCAGATACGGAATATACGGAACGCGGTCCGTGTTTTACGCTTGTCAACCAATCAGAATACAGGATTTTGAAAGCTATATAATAAATCATTATCACATGGTTGATGGTTCATCTACACTTCATCAAATTTCACGTCACTCATTTTTGAGCAATGATTATATTACTTAATTAAGGATTGTTTTTTTATATGCACACACATGCAGTTGAAACAGATATGAACTTACTTCATCTGATTTTACAAGTTTATAGTGGTCAAAGCTTGCATTTTTCATTAAATTTCTTTTTGGTTCCTCTGAGTAGGACGTTTTGAGTAATTCACAATTTGGTTCTTCAGGAGACGTTGTGTTTTTTTTGAAGTTTACAGATCTGCACGAGTCTCCATCCTTGTAACATTCAGTGATGCAATCTTTTTCAGAATCTACGTGAATATTCCTGATTCTTGATGCGTTACAGTCAAGGCGGTGATCTTTAAAATAGAAAAAAATACGTACAAATAGTTGTGGCTCCAAAACTCATAAATTATTTCATCAAAGTTTACAGATAAAGACCCGTCATTTGAAACGGAGGCCGCTTGTAGGAGAATCCCGAAATATTTAAAACCTTTTAGTCCACCAGAGACCCACTTATCACACAATGCAATTTTCAAGACTCCCAAATTAATTGAAAAAAATCCCCCCCCCCTTCACCTTTGACCGCTCTCTTATGCATATATAAACCAGTATTACAGGTTTGGCGACACATTTTAATTATGCACATTATAAGCGGTAGTATACGCATTATATAAGACAAAAGTACCCGTGAATTTTGGCCTACAGGAGCTCGGTTTTATATTTTTTGGCGCACTGGAAGTGTAATGTGCTTCACTTCCTTATTTTTGGACCAGGAAATGGTCCCTAACCGCTGCTAATCTTGTTGTTGTTGTTAGGGGGCGACGCTCTTTAAAAAAACCCTAAGGCTCTATCATTACTTGTTTGATCGGAATGAAACTTGGCACAATTATTCTAAGCATTATTCCGCATCGATTGACGGAGTTCGAATTTTTACTTTTGACCTTTTAAGCAAGTTACAAGCAATTCTTGATATACTTGCAGCAAATAATATATGCATATCATTAATATTCAGCCTATATATAAGTAAACGGAAACGATTAGAAATACATTGTCCTCTCTATTGTTATAAATACAATGCAGTTCAGAAATTAAACTCGGTTACGCAGTTCCTGGTCCCTATAGTACGATCGTACTTGTTTCAACACCTTTCAGTCCTGACTTCTGTATATACAATCTATATTCTAAAGCGTTTGCTTCCATGCAGTGCTCATGTAGTATAGTTACATCAGTTGAACAGCGCAACAACAATTACTATTAGTCTAGTAACGTTATTAATATACTGAATATAGTTAAATGTAGATACGTTCCAATATAACCAGGGAGCAGCGTGGCAGCATTTTTATTAAACAACTTCGCATCAAATGTGGCATAACAACTGCCTAAAATAAACAGAAAAGCTTTTCGACGTTTCGACCCAAGGGCATTCGTTAGGAGAGTTAATATGATATTATAGCCATACGAACCCTCTTGACGGATTCCCTTCACGACGAGAGAAGTGTTTTTGTCTAAATTTGGCAGTTGTTATGCCACATTTGATGCGATACTGACATACTGTATAGAGTTAGTTTAGTTCGTCGCTTGTGCAAAACACACCTTTTTTTGAGAGATCGAAACAAACGCGGATCTGTTCTCCAAAAGTTTCAGCATTCAAAATTGCCACAATCCATAAACCTAGAAGAATATGAATTGAACGCGGCATCCAACCTTTGCAAAATGAAAGGAAAACTGCTTCAGCCATCTTTTTGAACAGGTGCAATGTGATGTGCCACTTATACCTTTTAGCAAAACAATGGATACGTTTTCAATGCCTGCCGGGATGTATACAGAATAGCAGCAATCCTCCAGCAGTAATGCTGATATTGTGACATGCACGATTATATACAATAAAGTTCTAAAGACGAGCGTCGAACTGACGAATGCATTCGAATAAATAAAAATATTTAAGGAGCGTCGTTTTTCTTTTTATAGGTATATTTTCTTTTAGTATTTGTTGACTTTAGCTACTTTTCTTTATACATAATTTAAATTAATGCCATGTCGCAATTTGGATAAACAGCGATCTAAAAAGTAACAAACCACTTCAGATCAGCGATAATCAGACTTGGCACGTCAGATAAGGGAAGGGGCTTATATCACATGCCGTATAAATTTTTACATTGTGCTAGTTTGCTCATGAAGGTTAAGAATACGGCACTAAATGCAATAAGAGTAGAAAACCTTTTATATAAATGGCTGTACAAGGAATTATATTTGCAATATGAGAGGTCTAAGGGTTGTATGTATAACAATATAGTGGGAATGTTAACCGAACTTTCAGATCGCTATATTACAATCATACTTGGAATAAGAGTGATCTTAGAATAAGAGAGTGTTATTGTCATGTAAGAGAAATCATTATTGCAATATTACTATTGTATTTGAAAGATACATACAAGATGAAATTCTACATTTGTGCAGGTGATCACAGTGAAGGTTTATGAAAAGTGTGGCTACAATATAAGTACTTAACTCGTGTAGAAGTTACAACTTTTCAAATCTATATACTAGTGATAATAAAGACCAAAGGTATTAATCGAATCGATCAGCTTGATTTGTTGTACTTAACGGACCATGCAGTATGTAGGATGTATCCCATTTCTTTGAAATTCCTGTCTGCGTTGTCTGGTGAACACGAGGCAACGTTACCAACGGTGTTATAGGAAGGTTTGAACAAACAAGCCCTAGCCTGTTGATTGGCACCCAGGGCAGGTTGTATCAAGCCCGTTTAGCTTAAACGGTGGATAAGTGAAAATTAAATAACACTCTTACATCTCTCTTGAATGAGTCAACTTGAATATTATGCACTAAATATGTAGTTGTAAACAGTATCTTTGTATTAAGGTAAAAAACATTTAGTTTGCTTGTTGAATAAAACGATAGACTTGCTTTCTATTTTGAACTTATCCACCGTTTAAGCTAAACGGGCTTGATACAACCGGCTCCTGGTCTATAAAAATGTCTGGAGTGTCGCAGTGATTTTGCTGGTTTGAAACAATACCCAACCGAACTTCCTTGTTTATTGCAATTACGCTGTAAAGATGATCCATATGATGAGCTGTTTCAATTGCCATCGACTGAGACGAGTTTGACTGATACTTGCCGTCAGCGATCAGATCATACATGCACGATGCTGGACTGATACCAAAAAGAAATCCCTCTGGCAAGCCCCGTTTACACCACACTCAATTTATTGGCACGGCATGTCTAAAATTGGTACCCGTGGTGCATGTAAACGGGGCTTAAGTCGACCACCGTATTTTATTGCAACACAAATCTCGTTGAATGAATTTTTCGGTGAATTTCGCATGGTAAATATTAAGAAAAAGTCAGAAAACGTAACAAATGTCCATTGTTTGCAAAAACTTGTTTATTTCTAGATCAACGAGCGAGATAACATGGCAATAATATTTCAGTTTTATCCACAAGTTACAAAATGAGATTATACGTGCAGGTGAAAACGATGTCACAGGCTATATGAACTAAAGATTTAGAAAAAAGAAGGAATCAAAATGCTAAATTCAGTGCAAAAATAACTTTTTTGATTCTCTATAGTTATGATAAAAAAATCAGTTAATTGCCATTAAGGTATTAAAAGATATTATATAATCAAATCCGAGCGTTGTACGTTTAACGGACCAGTATGTATCCCATTGCTTTCAAGTTCTTGTCTCCGTTGTCTGATGAACACGAACCAACATTGCCAGCGGCGTTACGAGAAGGTCCACTGAAGCCACAAAACCAATACTGTTCATTGGCACCCAGGCCTAAGAAAGAGTCGGGGGTTTCGCAGTCATTTTCCTGGTTGGCAATGATGCCCAACCGAGTTTTTACAGCAGTTCTGCCAGAGAACACGTTGAATCCCTGTTTGTTGCAATGACGCTGTAAAGATGATCCGTAGATGAGCTGCTTCCATCTCCAACGACCGAGGTGAGTTTGACGATACCTGCCGTCAGCGATCAGATGATACAAGGACGATGCTGGATGCGAGAAAGAAAGGGCTCTGAGTTGACCACCATATTTCATCGCGACACAAATTTCTTTGAATGAAGTTTTCCAATATGTTGATCCTTTATATTGCCTGTTGTCAAAACCACCGTTTCTTCCATAGGACGAGTCATAGTAAGTGTTCTTGTTCGACCAATAACCGGAGCTGTATCCAAAGGTACTCTAAAATAGATACGTTAAGATTATCTTTCACAACTCCTCTAAACTTATACGAATAACCAGAAATGTAACTAAAAATACGGAGAAGTTAAAACTATACATATAACATCAAATAGTCTCTTCCTCGGTTCAACATTCTCACCTGGCTCCCATCAATTTTCATCACCATCGTCCATCCTCCACCAGAACAACCTGAGACTGACGACATCTGACAGTAAACTTTCATCACTTGATTTCGTCCAACGCTGATTTGATAAACACCACTACCACGGTTGCTAGCAGATGTAACAAAATACAGATGTAACAAAACACTGAGATATTCGTTTTTTAAAATTAATATTGCACAAACAACCAAAAAGTAAGAACCTGTTGTGCATGAACTTGGAACTAAAGGAAGACGGGTATTTAATTACAATACCTTTGACTCATCCATATTTGTTTGCACGATGAATGAGTCAGCACTTTCACATCTTAAAAGAACAAAAGATCACGATCCTATAAACGCCTTTTAAACCGTGATTATCCCGAATTCGTAACAATAAAAAGATTACCTTTAGTTACGCTTGCAAACTTAGTATTGGTCACGCGTTTGAAACTTTCTACTGCCCGTTTAAAACTTTCAAGTCTACCAATGACACCTTCAATCTTTTTGAAAAAAAAACGAATATTAGATTGCTGGAACATAACACTTTAGCTATGACATATTAATATCGACATTTATTTTTCTACTGCATTCACAAAAAACAGCCTAGAATTTTTGCATCCATCTTGCATTAGATTGCGCTGTTATTTTTCGACAAATCTTACCTTTTGCTGAGTTGCCAAAGCTTTCCACTGAGATCTTTCTTTGAGGTAAATCTTTTGGTCGTCAGATCGATAGGAGAGAAGACCTTCTATCTTTGGGAGTTCTTTCATTGCTCGATCATCAGGAACCACAGCAACCTGCAAAAAAATCCAGAACATGACATGCATAAACTCACTTGTCTAAAAACTCCGGTCAGAGTGGAAGAATGATTTCTGACTCCCCGCCGGCCTTCCCAATCTGAGAGGCTAACCCCCTCGGTCTCGTGCGCGCAAACGGGTGAATTAATGACTAACTAATTAACTACCACACAAACGGGTGAATTGATGACCCTTTGTAAATATAATGATTTGGGATTCCTTATTTGACAAGAGAAGATTAAATAAAATTTACCCCATCATTAACGGTGACATCTTCATCATGGGAACACGGACCCTACATTTAGAAGCAATGAAAACAGCATTAGAAGCGTGTTCGTATGAATATTCATTGTACAAAATTGTAAACTCTGCATTATATAGTAACACAACATTCACTGGAGGTAGAGCTATTGTGAATAAGCTCATATCTGAAAAAGCTGTTTTCATTTGCATTCCTCAAATCACAGATCATACCTCTCTCTTTACTCCGTCTTCCACATGCCATGTTTCCAATTTCCCTGCATTGTTTGTTTCTTTAAACTCCATGCATTTTTTCCAAACACGTATTGGTAAAGATGGACGGATCCAAAACCAAACTGTGATATTGTCCTCTTTCTTCAAAATTGTTCCACCATTGATTGCTTGACATCTTGGAGCGCAGTAATCCTTCTTACTGTCAGGACCAAAACAAGCACAACACTGAAATGGAAAATATTTCAATTTTGAAATATTGCAAATATTCTTCGATTTGTTGGAAAATTCTTTTATCGTATGTACCTTTCCGTGATCACAACCAATAAATGATGTTTGATTGTCTTGAATCCCGGAACGTTCAGACTCAACACTGTAACTGCATGAGAAAACATGGCAACAAAAGAGTTGATAATCAAGTTTGGTTTGGCCGTAGTTATGGTTTAAATAATCACCTGTATGAACCTGATCTGTCGATATGAAAGTTATAAAGATAGGCAAAACCTTTTGGGCAGGCTTTTTTAAAGCATTTGTTCATTTTATCCTAAAAAAATAATTTCTCTTCATCATTTGAGTCTGAAAAAGCACGTTTGGGTGGCTAGATTTAACCAGTGTGATTAAAATAATAAAACTATAAGTAAAACATAAAATATTAGTTACACACCCATCCCAGTCCTGTTGATATATCAGCCCCAAATCGCGAACATTTGAATTTTCTTGTCGCTATCTTTCCAGTCATGAGATCTTTAACGTAGGCAATATCACCAATGCCTGGATATCGATGACTGCATCCTCCTTTGTTGGACATGAGAAGTTTTGAAAGAAGACGAGGGGATTTGAAACGATAATACCTATGCAAATAATACGGAAAAACTGTAAATGGTTACTTTAAAACGTGGATCGTCAACAACAATCAACAAACGTACCAATGTGCTCGTGTATCACGAAAATGTTTAGTTGTGGAAATCTGAACTCGAAAATCCAAGACTTCTTCATCTCCAAATGCACTTGACCACAGTGGCTTACCGAGGGGGTGGATGAAAGACGCTTTTGATGGAATGGCCCAGGTTTCTGGCGTGTCTTTGACGCCAATCAACAGGAACCCCCCACCGTCTGTTTCAACATCGCACCATGACTTAATAAAATGGATTTTGTTTAGAGACATGAAACTCTAACCATAAAAGTCTACGTTTGAAGTTTAATTGCGCTTTTATATTGGTTAGAAATCAGTGCAGCCTAAAATTGGATTATTTCATCAACCTTTTGTGGACCATTTCGTGTCTGAATCCAATAAACTCCACTTTCCGCTTTTGGAACATTGTCGATAACATCAGAACAATCCTTCGCTGGATCAAAATAATTGCCATACGAATGACCTAAAATTTGCGTGTTAAATAGTCATGTCGGAACATAGGTAGCCTAACAATCAGGTTTTTGATGAAACAAGACACTCTTGCCAGTCTCAATATATTTTGACCGCACGCTATATATACATATTATATTATGTAATTATAACTATATACGTGACCCGAGTGACGTACGTAATGCAGCGCGCGGTCAAAATATATTGAGACTGGCAAGAGTGTCTTGTTTCATCAAAAACCTGATTATTGGGCGACCTATGGTCGGAATCTGTATTTGCATAGTCATAATATTTGTTTATATAGCAAGCAGTGATTGGCAAATAGTGGAATTAACAGTGATTACCATTGATCATTTCCCACTGAAATTTTCCATCGTGTTGAACACAAGCCAGGATTTTATCATCATCATTGTAATCTTTCACAACCACAAACTTTCCTCGTTTCTTTTTTGTGCAAATACCAGGATCGTATGGGTTCACCTGTTTTGTCGGATGTATGTAATTTGCGCATGCCACAAGTTGGGGAGATCAAAAGAGCTATTGTGCTTTGCTTTGACCAGTTTTACAGCAAGTGCTCAGCTAATCTTCCCAACAATACCCTATTCTATATGTATTCAGACGATGCTATATTTTCGCTTGTAGCAGTTTCACAAAGTGCAAAGCTAGTACTTTTTCTTAATTCCTACAATACAATAAGAGACGGATGCCACAGTCTAACGGACTTGTTCAGTTGTAACAAAATAATTTTACTACATGAATATATTTCGCTTTACTATATGTAATACAAATATTTCAATATTAACAATTTAACATAACCTTCCTTGCTTGTACATATAAAATGTGCATACTTACGGCACAGAGGGTTGTAACCAATGCTAAAGCTAGCAATGCTGAGAACAACCTCATTTTTCTTTCGCTTTTTTAAAAAAATGTGTTCACTCTTTGGAAATCCAACCTCAAATGAAGCCAATTAACTATGGTAGCGCATTTACATTGAAAGAGTTTGTTTCACTTTATTGCTGAAGGAAGACTATCATTTTGACATGATTTTGCATATAAATCAACACGATATACATAAAGACATGTATTTTTTACTTTTTGTCGACTACAAGATCTTTTTTCCAAGTGAATAGTTTAAATATGAATATATCAACATACTCGTGGAAAAATGAAGTGTTTTTGGAAAAGGAATATAGGAAAATCGTCGTTGAAGTCACTTCGCTTTGCCTCTTGGCATCCATTATTTACATTTGTGAGTGCAAGTTTGTTGAGGACATTACTTGACTGTAACACGATCCGATATTTAATTTCCTTCATCACAAATCATAACCGACAAGGAACACCAGATCAAAATCAACACACTGTATTTATATACATTCGATTTCAAACCTCCTTTTAGATGTGAAAATCTGGAATCGAGTTTGCTCCTTTTTTATCGTCCCAGCGCTTTACGGATTGTATCTACAATCGTTGACACCTCAGCCATAGCACCGATGCCTAAATATGAACATTACAGGATAGTTAGATATGCTGCAAGCCAGCTCTTAGCCTCTAGTTCCGCCTGCCCAGAACATCAAGCCTAAAGGGTACTTAGGGTAGCATATTTGAGTTGGGTGACTAAGAAATTTGGTTTGTTATCGCAATTTTAGATACAGAGTTATGTTTCGTCAATATTATATACCTAGGGAAATGCCCCATGCTTTTTGATTTATAAAATTTTAAATGTCTCGAAGAGAGGGCAAGATGGAGAATTTCAAGTTGCAGCGAAAATTTCGGCCATTTGTAAGACAGTAGGAGTTCATGTTAAATGTTTACATTGCATATTTCTGGGTGAAACATTGATAGCATTTTAGTTATTGTAGGCGGAACAATGTGCGTTTAAATCAGCTTTTGGTCCTAGGACTAAAAACCCATGCTGGGCTATCAATGACTGTTGAGAGACCTTTGTCAGTTCACCGAAAGTATATAATGAGTCGTAATAGTCATTTCTAAGGAAATTTCCTTAGAAATGGAAACCCTGAATGTCAGTAGACACCTCACCACAATCTCCACACGCTAGAGTTTTCGAGATTGGAGGTATTTGAACATATTTCAAACTCTTGAGCTTTTCCAGATGTTCTCGTGTCAGCGGATGCTGCCACATGTGGGTATTCATAGCTGGACAGTAGAACACTGGTTTGACTGGGTCCCAAGCCCTCGTTACACTCGTCTGAAAACAACAAGTAGCCAGACACGAGATTAATAAATGAGAAAATCTATGATCTCGACTCGATTACAAAACATAAAGTTTATGCAAGTTCCTTTAAAATTGGGAACTGATTCTTTTGGGAAACTTACTAGTAAGTTATCACATAACCCATGAGAAAGTTTTGCCATCGTATTAGCATCAAGTGGTGCGATAAGGAATAACTCTGCCCATCTTCTTAACTGAAAGTATATTGCAACTAATTGTATGTGACGCGATCTGATTGGCTGAGCTAGTTACAGTAGCTATATCAGCTCATATACGGTGAGCAGTGAATTCAGTGTGAATTTGTGGTGAGAATTTTATAAGTTTGCCTATATTATTATAAAGTTTTCGGTATATTATAAAACAATTATGCTATTTGCTCTTGTCAAATCTCCCAGCTTCAACTCTTTGGCTATCAGATCATATATGACCCAATCACTCAAAACTCATGATGTAATTGTTAAATTGTGGATTAATAACGCTTATCATATAACATTTTATAGTCTGTCCTATGTGTGTGATGAACGATAAACAGAAAACAGTTTTTCCCACAAAAGTGACCCAAGATACAACAGTGAATATTTTGCCCAATTGGAATGACAAAAGGTGTGTATATAGTAACATAGATAGTTTGCTCTATGAGAATAATGCAAGATATGACAGTGTAATGTATAGTTCCTCTTTGAATGCCCATTAGTTTGAAGGATGGATTAAGGTTCATTCATATGGGTGCATGTGTTGGATATGTGAATGGTCAGATGTTAGTTCAGTTAGAATATTAGCCTCGCACCTCAATATGAAGAACAGAATCACCAATCTTTTTCCATGTCTGCACAATTTGGAAAAAAAATTAAAATGAAAGGTCTCATTACAAACTGGACTGATTAGCTGTAGCCTGTATATTAGGTATACACAAACCTCCCACTCGTCCTTATCTTCATAGATTTGAACAGGAATGGAATTTCGGTCAAAGAAGTGAAATGAATTCTGAGTCGCCACAATCTTTACATGAACCTTTTGCACAATATATTTTCATATTATATGTACATATTATATTATACAATTTATAGAAGTGTTAAGCAAGGCACTTACTATAGGGAAGAGGGAGGGGGGGGGGGGGGGTTGTTAGTAGCGTTTTGTTCCAAGAATTTACAAAGGACTGTATTAGGCACTCATTCTAGGATTAATACCCACTACTGCTCAATTCTGGCTCTTTCGAGATTTATGAGCAAATTGAAGTATCAACAATAGACTCCAATTCCAGATCGAAATATTGAGTTGCCTAAATATTGAGAAGGCACCTGACATCCATGATGAATGTTTGACACTAACAAATTAAAAATACAGTTGTCAGACACTAGCATTCTTTATGGCTATCAGAATAACTCTGGTCACAGCCAGAGTTAGCTTATTTTAAAAAAAAATTAACAGAAATACTTTAATTACTTGAAAATATCTATTGTAAGTACTAAAAAACAAAATTTTTAACACAAATTTTCATGTTTTGCTAACTGGGACAAAAAAATGAACCAATGAGCTTCAAAGTTTTTGGCCAACAAGAAGCCAGGATTTTGCATATGATTAGCAGAAATCGACCAATCAGAAAAGTCCGTATTCACCGCTCGCGTAACCCACGCACAATCCACGAATTACATTTGTACTAATAAACTTATAAACAAAAGCTCGTACTTTCGAAGTAAATATTCGGTTGTACAAATTAAACGTAAATAAAAGGAAAGCGTATAACCTTTGGTATTTTTTGCAATTTTTCGACAAGAATTGGAAGCTTTATGGCCGCTACACTACCAGAAACCCCAACAAGAATATTTATAACTTCATCGCTGGTATTTTCGGTCGCCATATTATGGTGGATCCCAGTCTTCCTGTTGCCTGCGCTGTTACGGCAACTCTGGGGAATCATTTTGACATGTAAGTTTTTATTTTTTAGTTTTCATTATTATAATAATATATGCATACTTTTACCTTGGACTAGGGACAACTAGAAATATCATAGACTTTTGATTAAGATGCCTAGTTACACACAGTTACTGTGTAATGTAATGTAATTAGGAGAGGTGGGGGTGTGTGGATGGGCTGACCCCTTTCATCATCTAACTGGGTAATGGATAAACTCAAGATTCAATAAACATCAATGGTTGTGTTTTGAAAAACATTTATTACTTTGCATCTAGACTGTATTTACAAAATCCATCATAATAATGAACATTAATCCTCTGTCTCCATTTGCTCGACATCTTTCATGACTTGTGAGATCTTTTGGCTGGCAGATTTCTTCAGAGCTGTGAGAAATTTGACATTTTAGTTTTGGTAAAACAAAACTATATTGACAACTGCTGGCCACAGTCACTGCATGAAATTTAAAAATAAAGAAATATTCACCTGGCTTTGGTTTTATTAGATTGATATTTGTCTCAACTTCCTTCAGATCAGCTTCATCAGAAAGCTTCTTGCTTGCCTTTAATCTGATAAGACACAACAATTTTAATTTTCAAATTTAACTAAATCAAACTCTGTACTTAGATTAGCTTCTTTACCTGTTTCGGATGAACTGTTTCTGACGTTTCTCTTGTATTTCTGAGATTCTCTTCATAGCAGTGACTATTTGAATACAAGTTAAAAAAATTAGAGCTCCATAATTAAAATCACTCCAGTAATACGCCCAACTCTATTATCTGACATAAACTGAACACAAGTTATATTTGTTGAAAACCCAACCTGTCTGCCTAACATTTTCATTCGTATATCGAACTGGAACATCCCTCTTCTTTTCAAAGTCAAATGTTGAATCCTACAAAATCAACATTCACACATGTTTGCTAATAAATACAAGACCACTGGCACTTTATACAGACTTTTACAGTCTTAACAAAAATTCACTCTACTCACAACAGCCAGTTCTTTGCCTGCAGCTTTTCTGAAGGCTTTTGTCCATCTGACCTTTCTTGGATTTCGTTTTCTCTTAAAGGCTTTGTGGCATTTCGCTCGGCAGAACCGGAACACCTGTCAAAAACCCATTCAGTTCAACCTCAATTATGGTCTTTCAAATACTTTCCTCAATTATGGAAGCCATCCTTTCTTTCTCTATGTATGCCCAAAGTTACTTCCATTGTAAGGGTCTGAATAATATGACCCATTGCACCACATCCATCACAAATGAAGCAACATTAAAGTTTCTTCAATCAATTTTGTAAAGTTATAAAAAGGTTTGCAAACAAAATGGTTATGTATTTCAAGGAACACCATGACATACACAGTCACACAGATATTCTAAATAACTCTTAGTTCGTAGTCTTTAAACCTTACTTTTAAATATATGAATATTTCTTGAATTCTCAAAGTGTAAAACTCCTGAAGGATATTTAAACAAATTCTCACACATACCTTGCAATCATTTCGCACGAACGCTATGCCGTGACCAGGCCAAACAGTCGATGAACAAAAGTAACATTTTTCTAAACGCATTTTGTGATTATTTTGAAGAAAATTTCACCAAAATATTTATATTCAACCATGTGAAATTTTCTAAAATGGAAAAGGAATGACGCCTGCGCACAATAGAATATATGGGTCAGCGGTATGGTTAAAAAATACTTGGCTAAATTTTATTTCATTTGACCATAAAAATGCTGCAAATTTTGTCAAAATTCTTCGGATAATGAAAGTTTGTTATTGTAGTACAAATGAGCACTACAGATAGTTGTTATGTTCGTGATTTTAAATTCTAAAAAACGTCTGAAATTCTTGCATTTTTCATATGCAATTTTACAAATGGCGGAAGTCATTTGAGCCAACGCACATAGTCAAGCGGTTGCCTCGATAAACTCGACCCAGTGCCCTCAATGCAACGTCATCTCACGCCGATCACGATACAACGTGTTTTGGTATCAAAGTGGCTAGATTTTAAGCAAATCTACGGGAATATCTACGTTTTTTCGGCTGAAAATATCGATTTCGTTCCTACGTGCTAGCATTCAAAATGGCGGACGCTGCTGACGAATACGAGGAATATAATTGCGACGAAAGCGTGCACGCTGGTTCACATTCGAGAAAGGGAAAGTCGAAGAAAGAAGCCGATCAAAATAAACATCAACATGGCTATCCTGGACATGAAAGGAAAATTGCAGACAAGATTGGAAACGCCGAGGATAAACGAAAAGAGGAACGAAAGAGCAACACGGACAAATGAGACTTGGAAAGTTAGAGCTTTAGGAATGGACAAAACAAGGCAACGCTGTTTAAAAGGTCATTTGGTCAAAGGCTAAATAGGACCTTATAATTTGTGACTGGATATTTGCCTTATTGAAGAACTTTGCAACTGCTCAATTTTATTTTAAAAATGCAATCATCAATTATCTATTAGGAATCTATAAATAATTATTATTATATGATATGTTGTTTTCTTGTTTCAATAATAAACAAATTGATTGTATTTAAATGATCCCTCATGTGAAGACTGCGGTTTAATGACACTGGCTAATGATCAGTTTAGTTTGTGACATGAAAATGCAGTCGATACATAATATATACGCGTCCCGTATTATCAAAATATCAAACTGTTAACCCCTAATTATAAATGTTGATAGTGGTCTAGGAAAAAAAAGTAAAAACACAATGTTTGCTCGTTAATTTCACATTAATTTGAATGATTTCAATCTAACATGGACACAAACACAATGGATTAATACGCTGCACTTAAGGGGAAATAGCTTCTAGATCAACAGTTAGTCAACCGTGAGAAAAGTAATTGTTTTTCAAGTTCAAGAAAATTTGCATATTCTAATAATTTAAAAACAGACGAAATATAATTCTTAGATATGTAAATTTCAATTCTTCCTGCCGCAGCTGCATGTTATAATCCCACAGCATTATATCATGCCACTTGCACGGGCTGTGGCAGCTCTGAACCGTCTTGTTTGATTCAATGAAAATATTGAAAAAGAAATTGAAAAAAAATAGCAAAATCTGGGAAAAAATCACTGCTATAATTTTTAGGAAAAAAACACAGGAACATATTAAGCAAGGCTTTTCACATATATGTCATCTGTTGTGTATGTTTTTAACCATTTCAAATGGTATAAAAGAAGTTATATTACTGAAAATGAAATTCTTTGGTCAAGATTTTTGCTGGATTATGCGGCAAAAGAAATTCTGCCAAAGTTAGTCAATCGTCATCACTCGTCCCAGTTCATTGTTTGTCGCGCGCCTTCAACACATGTGAGTCATGGCGGATTGGGGTAAGCAAAAGTTTATTATTTTATAAAAAAAATCTGTTGTTTTCTCTAAAATTTGAATGAAAATCTGTGTTCCGTAAACGTTGATGGCCTGTGCTGTCCGTTTTTGGGAGATAAAGCTTTTGGAAACTTGAATGTTTTGTTGAAATTCGCTTCATTTTTATATAAAAAGGATGATAACATGGGAAGTACATAATGGTGTACAATTTTGTTTATTTACAGACGACGAAGGCTTTGAGCCTGGTGAAATCGAGGAAAAGAAGGGCGATGCATGGGCAGGCGAAGATGAAGACGATGATGAATTGAAAGTACGAGAAATCTTATAATAGACGTTGCTATTTTAAGTGATATGATATGTTCGGATTATGCTCCAATATTTATGCTTCACTATGATGCCACACTTAAGTTAATTACACGTTGCAAAATGTCATGCTAAGAAAATACCCTGAAATATAAGTTAAATGAGTAGTGTATGTGATTGTTTGCCACAGTAACTGGCACTCAGCCCAAATTATCTACTTGAAAAAGGTTACTGTGGCTTACAGCTGTATTTTGAATTGTGCTATTTTAATCCATGAAGTGGCAATGGATTGATGCAATTTTTCTTCATGTGTGGTCTGTGACAAGAAGAGTGTTTTCTGTATACTTCTAGCATCAAGAATTCCATCTCTTTTCTTGATTATTTTTTGGTTGATCAACTGGCCTGGTTGTGATGCTCAGATTTTTTTTAATTTTCAGGAAAATTGGGATGATGAGGAAGAGGAGAATGATAAACTGGCCGAAAGTCAAACAGGTTTGGAATATCTTTGGGTTTAAATGTGTATTTACTTTATTATATCCTTTATGCGAATGCATCTGACACCTTTCATTTTTGGGATTTGCAAAACTATGATATATATTGTTTTGTTTTATCCGCATTGGTATAGAACCGAAAGCTGTTGTTGTGGTTAAAAAGAAAAAGTCGACAGTGAAACAAAAAATATTGGAGAAAGAGGAAAAAAGGAGAGAAGAAATGTTGAGAAAGGCTGAAATGAGAGAACAGGAAGGAGAAGATGACGAAGATGACGAGGTGACTACAGTTAGAATATCAATGTGTATTACCTGCCAACTGCCGGTCACAGGCAACTTTTCACAAATACAATATTGGTGACAGAACAACAGCAACATTTATTTATGTACTATTTGCTCTCATTTTGATTCAGGAATCGATTTTTTCTTCGCTGGAAGATAAATTAGCAAAACAAAAGTATGCAAATTTCCATCTTTTTAACTTTATAATCTCTTATATTTTAATACAAATATACAATAATATATAGTTGACATGTAAGGATAATCAAGTTCTAATGATGTGTTCATTTTTTGCAGATTAGTAGAGGAGTCGGATTTACAGGTTGCAAAGGATTTATTTGGTAAGTACCAAGGATAGTTCATCAATAGACCTTATGCATAATGATATAACAAGCTGTAACACCTACAGTGGGAAATTTTGAAGTTTGAATTTTTCGCTGTGACTACTAAAACCAGAATTCCCTGCAGGCATCACAACTTGATATGTCATTATGCATAAGGTCCATTGTCACAATAGAGCATATTCAAACATAATGACCAATTCATTAGTTATTGGTAAATATTTATCACTTTCTCTGCAAAGTCTCATGATACATTCTGGGAAACTCATTGAAACTCTCATTTCATCTGTCTTTAAATTATTTCTGCAATTTGAATTTGCTCTGAATTCTGATGTGGTTTTTCTTAGGAGGTGATGCTATTACTGAAGGAGGGAAAAAAACTATAGATACATTTAAACCTACAAGTAAAGAAGAATTTAGTGAATTAGCAAAAATGTTGACAGAAAAATTATCAGAATTTGAGGTAGGTCAGAGACTGTACTGTGAATGTGTTTCACAATCTAGTATATCCGTTTACAATGTGATTTTTTTACAGTCTTCTGTCGAATACCCAGGATTTTTAGAAGTTTTATTAAGAGACCTTGCAAGTGGAAGTAAGTATGGGAGTTGACTTGTTTGTAAATTTGACTGACATTTCTAAGAACAATACAATATTGTTTAGTGGAAGTGGAAGATGTTAAAAAGCTAGCAAATGCTTTAAATGCCTTAGCGACAGAAAAACAAAAAGCCCAAAAGGTATTTTTAATGGCATCAATTATTTATTGTATTATCTGAGAACATTTTTCATTGGCCAATAGAATCCATTGGCATTAGACTGAGTGAAATACTAGGCATTTAAGTGCTGCACTTTATGTGCAAAATTATAGTGTATTATACATTGAAACAACTTCAGTTATTTCTTGGAATTTCTAAATAATTTCTTGGAATAATCAGTTATTTCTTGGAATTTCTAAATTTAAATGTTTTTGTCAGCCTGTTAAAGGCAAGAAAAAGGGCCGAAAAGCTGTGTTGGGTGGAAGTGTCAAAGGAACCAAGGGTGTCGATGTAGAAGATTATTCAACATATAGAGATGAATTTGATGATTTCATGTAGCGAATATACAGATATATAGTCATATATTTTTCATGGAAACAAGAATATGACATTGGAGAGGGTTCCCGGCCAATATTTATTACGAATGGTCATGCATTCCTAGAAATGTACCGTAAATCCTCCAATACGGATAACTCTAATACAACTACCCCTGACACGCCCTTTTTCTCCAGGGGCCAGTTGTATCAAAGCTGGATAGCGCTATCCACCGTATAGTAAAATCGCCCGTTGTTGGGTATAACTTTGTATTAAATTTAAATCTTAGTATTCCTAAATTGAGGAACCTCTTATATTATTGCTATTGAAGCACTTTAGAAGGTTTGCGGTGGATAGCGCTATCAGGCTTTCACACAACCGGCTCCAGATCATTCCTCCCTATATATAAAAGAAAAATATTTCTCAAAGTAAGATTAGTTGAAAATTCATGATATAAGTTAGATAGGTCTCAATGAACTCAAATAAGTCCCAAAAACTGGCAGGTGAGGGGTAGTTGATTATTGAGGATTTTGGTATTAAATGTCAAATCATAAAGGTGATGTCCAGTCGTGTTTTGGGCGTCGGTTCTGCTCGCCGTAACAATGCAGGTCCCGCAAATTTAAAATTTGCCTCAATTCTTGCCCTAATTCACAAATGATTTTTTGGACACGAACTCTACCTCGTATTTAGTTAAACCCATAGCGAACCAGTTATGTGTGAGGTACGCATGCATTTGATATGTAAACAAACGTGTAAACAAAGTGTTTGTTTACATTACGACTGGACATTACCTTTATAAGTTAAAGAGTCAGCATACATGGTTTGTGAATAATTATTAGGGAATTTGACAATTGACTGATGTGGTCAATAGAAAACAATTATAGAAAAAGTTGAACAATAATTGAATGTATTCGTGTATGAGCAAGGAGCACTACTAATCCAGATAATTTGTATTCATGCTTGGATTAGGACCAGATATTATTTCAGGTAATAATTTCGTGTCCGGAATCCACGAATATAATCCTTGATTCTAATCCTTGGGCAGGTTGTATCAAGTCCGTTTAGCTTAAACAGTGGTTAGAATAGCATGCAAGCATGTCTATCGTTTTATTCAACAAGCAAACAAAATGTTTTTAAGCTTAATACAAAGATAGCCCAGTGTTTACAACTACATATTCAGTGCATATATAATATGAATTCAAGTTGACTCATTCAAGAGATATAAGAGTGTTATTTAATTTTGACTTATCCACCGTTTAAGCTAAACGGGCTTGATATAACCGGCCCCTTTAGTATAGTACTTGGATAAGGGTTAGGGCCAGGTTCAGGATTGAAAGTTAAGATTATATTCGCGGACTCTGGAGTCTGGACATGAAATTAGGACCTTTTTTAAGATCAAGGGCAAGGACGTTAAAGGCGATGTGAGAATGGCGAAAAAAATGCCCCCTTTTATGGCAACGCACAGCTTAATCATATATTCCACATGAATATATTACTAGAGGTCTATACAATATTCACGTTTTTGCAATTCAGCAATACTTTTAAAATTGATAGTATGGAAGTTGCAGTTGGAAATTACAGACACAGGAAGCAGTTCGCCTTCCGGCCAAAATTCTTTACACGCACACCGCTTGACTTGTGTTTACGACTGATCTGTAAAAAATCAGTACTATTTTTTCAGAGCCTTGCTGTTTACATCAGACTTGGTTCACGATGGAAGATGTTTTCAATTTTTTTTTACTTTTTCGAGTTTTCTCTCTCATCGCTATAAGCATGGGTTGAATTTGATAGAAAACCCGGAAGTCTAGAAAAAAAAACCCCAACTCGATCGTAAAACGTGAAATATATAATCTTCGAGTTCCTCACCTGTGGGGTGCTCTATGATTATCACTTTCAATATTTGTATAAACGATAGTAATCGTAAGCGTAGCGATTATTGCTGTTCGCAGCGCCACTGACGTTATTATATAGTAAGATAAATTGAAGAGATAATAGTTGTATATTCACTATATTGTCCTTAAATATTATCTATTCCTAATCGAATACCGTTTTTTGACGGTCATATATTATGCCATATTGAGCGCTTGCATGTTATGTGGTGTCAAAATTAAAAATCGTCATAGGAAAATATGTCTGTTATATTGTACTTGTTTGCTCTTGATAAACAAACTTCCCAAGCACTTATACAAATAAATGAGAGAATTGTCATTATGAAGATAGTTTAAAATTCAAACGTTCATTTTGAATGCAAAAATCACAGATATAAACCAAGTTACCAAAGTGGGTAATTACAACATACTCAGATTGAGTTTTTGAGGCTCTGCACAGCCTGAATCAACAAATTTTGACGCTCATCGATTGAAATCCGAAAACTGAGTAGGCCTTATCAACAAACCAATATTAGCAGCGCAATTTCGGAAGTCGTTCAAAAAGCCGATTTCCCCATAGTGGTATAAGAACGGCGTTTAAATTTTTAATTATGAAAATGTCGGCAAAAACGTTTTCAATGCGGTTTCTCAATTTACCAGTTGACATTGTGGCAAATCTTGGCAAACTTAAAACTCCGAAAACGAAAACCGCTTAACCTCGTTTTTATCAAGTATACTATTATTTTTTTTCCACAGTTGGCTGTTTCCTTCTTGTTATTGTGAGACATTCAAAGTTCAGTCGCGAGACGTGTTCCAGTTCAAATGGATTTGTCAAGAGAAAACGTTGATTTTCTTGCTGTTTTGGTGTTTTTCTTGTTCATGGAAAAAGGTAAATAGCATTGTATATAGTTTGTATTCCAATGAGTTTCGACGAGTTCACCACGTTTGAGATATCTTTCTCAGGTAGTTCAGACACAAAGCACGACAGCTTACTGTAGGATACTACCTACACTAGACCACCACGTTTGAGATATCTTTCTCAGGTAGTTCAGACACAAACCACGACAGCTTATTGTAGAATACTGCCTACACTGGACCACCACGTTTAAAATATCTTTCTCAGGTAGTTCAGACACAAACCACGACAGTTTATTGTAGAATACTACCTATACACTGGACCACCACGTTTAAGATATCTTTCTCAGGTAGTTCAGACACAAACCACGACAGTTTATAAATTGTAAAATACTACCTACACTGGACCACCACATTTGAGATATCTTTCTCAGCCTCGGGTAGTTTAGATACAAACCTCGACAGTTTATTGTAGAGCTTCCTAAATCCTACCTTTACTGCACTTCATCTTTCTTTCATTTGTAGCCATTGTGCTTTCATGTGAATTACCATCGGGAAAAATTTCACCGTGTGGGGATAAATTTAGTTGTCCGAAAACTTGCTGTCAAAATACGAAAACTCGACCCAATTGCTATTTCCAAAATAACGGTAGGAATTAAATTTTGATTAAAATACTGTCATTTTTACTTACGGAAAAACATCTTTTCATATATGCCGTGCATACAGAAATTCAACTAAAAGGCCTAACATTCATTTGCACTTCAATAGCCTACGGTGTTATTCAGCACAACAACGGGTTATGTATGAAATTGAAAGATGATTCCTACCAGAATAACAACCATCTCATTTGGTCTCGCGACTGCGCCTCAAAAAATGCATTCTTTCTGGTTTCAAACGATCATCCGATCTTCCATATTGCTTCTGGGATGTGTATCTTGCCAAACGGGTACGTTATGGGGGAGAGATGTATGATGTATAAAGAAATGACAGGCCACTTTGCAAAGCCAATCAGAGTGCCTAAATATTTAATACTTCATGTAAAATTGTAAATAATGTACTTTTCACCTGAAGCAGTCAAAATTTATGCATTCTGATTTGGTTACTGAAAACGTAATTTGGTCTGAAACGAAATTCCCCGGCCCTTTGTTCACTAGCTCAGCTTCAGCCAATAAATACCTTTACTCATTTTGTAGACGCTTGAGTAACCCAAAAGATAAAGCTCTCGTTCTTAAAAGCGCTCATTCAAATAAGGATTCCTGCAACGCAGACACTGTGAGTTATCGTCCGACGAAAAATGGCAACCTGGAATATTTCTATCTCAGTCGTTCGCTAAGAGTGTGCATAGGAAGTAAATCCGAAGGAGGTCCGAAAGAAAACGATCGTGTTTACATCTTGGAAAAAGCTTGTGATGGTTTGAATTGCTCAGAAGCAGTCAGCTATGGTTAGTTTCGGGAAAGTTTTTTTGCTTTTTAAAGAACTACATCGTAGGATATCGATTAAGACAAATCAGTGAGTCATTAGGTGCCAGTCATCCGCCCCCCCCTCCCCGCAAGGTACGCCCCCCTAACTTCTACAGATGTCCTTCATTCTCTTTGATATCATTTATCATACCCATATGTACTGTCAAGCAGGTTGCTCAACTAGTTTCAAAAAACACAACACAAGATATAATCGATTAAATCCTGCAGAATGGTTTCTATTTCAACAACCATTCCGAGCGCTGATTGGCTGAAATACGAGCGCGAGATCACGTGGTACTTATTAATTCGAAATCAGGCAACCCTAGTGTCAAGTCCCAGTCTTCACGCAATTTTACCTCACTCATCTTTTAGTGAATCAACGCATTTTTTCCGAGGGAAAGAATGCCGACTTAAGATGTGAACCGTGCTCCACAATAAAGATAATTTGGGCAAATTTCGGTGTCATGCATACAACAAGTTATCCACACGTAATTTCTTCAAGTATCAAGAACTGTGTAACAACGACTGCAACCAGTGTGGTACAAGGAAAATGCGACGGAAAAACGCAATGCTTTTTCGCTGTCACAGATGCTGATTTTTTGCAAACGAACTGTCGACGTAGAACGTTTCTGCTCGTCCGCTACACTTGTCGTAAAGGAAAAATGCAAGGTATGATTTGCGCCGTCGTTTTCGACTGTAAAGCACCAGGCGCATGCTCATTTGGTCTGATTTGTCTTTGAAATTTCGGTTGTAAACATAGTCGCGATTTAGAGCCAAGTTGTTTGATTCAAGTTGACTTTTAATTTTCAAGAAAACAAACACAGTTGATTTACTTTTTCATTGCAAATCAGTAGATCCTAGAAAAAAGCATTTGTTAAAATATGACAATACAAAACCTGGTTGCAAAATGTTATACTTCTAGAAAGACTTGCAGCTTGAAGTTTGCAAATCATGCAATTACTTTGGTTTAGCGTGTTAAAAAGTTAGCCATCCATCAAAGCAAGCTGCGCCAATTGTAATTCAATTACAGCCCTTTACGGTGATAATCAGTCCCTACTCATACCCTACTGAATTTTTGATGATTCAAAAATTTGGGTTTTTCTTAATGGGGGAACATTATTCACACAGGGATCCGACCACCGAGTGGAAAGCTGCCAAAATCATCCTTAGATGACAAGCTAGCCATTAACACCTTAAAAAACGTTTCAAAGATTAAAAATGAAGCGGATGATTCGCAGAAAGTTGGCAACAACAGCGAAGACGCCACCACAGGTACGGAAACACGCCAGATAAATTTTTCAGGGGGGGGAGCGGATGAAGGAGTCTTAGATCCCCCCCAAGACAATTTCGTGATATACCATTTGACTTGCATGATTGCTCTGCATTTTGGAGAACACTTTTTGATGTAGTCCACCCAGCGGCGCAAGGCTTATTTAAAGTATATCATTAGTTTCTTCTGAACATGGTTATTTTGCTAATATTTACACTCAAAAGAGGGTACAATTATAGAATACCATGCCAATAGTGCATTATGTTAAAGATTTGTTAGAGGATGAGTTTTGGAATATAGAACTGCCGCGTTCATTAAAAAGAGAGTTTTTACTGTTTACTCTTGTTCTTGTTAAGTAACATAAAACAAGGTATTTCTATATAGCATTCACTGTTATGAGTTGGGTTGACCGGGTATTCTATAGTTGCCCCCAAAAGAGCCTCGACTGGGGGCAAAAGATAATTTGTGGGGGGTATTGAGTATGAGGGGGGATCTTTTGAAGAGCCCTCAAAGGCTCAAGCAGCCTGTCAACTTCCACATGGCAGCCAAGAAGCCTGTATGTTGTGGTTTTATTTATAGTTCGTTCAGATTTGTCTCAGTTTTAAATTTTTATCTTGTATTTTTTAGATTCTACAAAATCTGATGATCAGGTTTCGTTGTATTTCTTTATCGCGATTGTATCGTCGGGCGTCGTCATCGGAATCAATTTTC